CTCGAGCCTGGCACAAAAAGTCGTTGAGCAGCTGCGGAGGGGAATGTCGTATAATCACTGCTTGCAATTTAAACGTCTGCCAGTGGCCTAGCCTACTTCGCAATGTGGCAAAGACGGACGATGTAGGAGACCACGGCGAATACTGAGTGAAAGGCTACTGGATGTTCCGGAAGTAAATTTTTGGTAAACGTGCCGATGTGACAAAAAATTCGCGAGCGTGGAATCTTACTCCGATATGAGAATATCTTCTAAACAAAATGTGAAGAGATAAATCTAATTGGCAAAGTCTTCAGTTCTATTAGGTAGCTCACAGGAATGTGAGGTGGGTGTGGTAGGCCAAATGATTGATGTCTAAGAGTTAGGTGACAAAACTTTCAGGTAGTAAGATTATTCCGCACTTCGTTCTCCGTAGTAGCCTTTTCCTTTCCTCCTCAATTCGAGCCCATGATCTTTCGAAATGCTTTATATCTACGATGTCAGTTGACCCCACAACAGTCACAAGGATCCATAAAACTAATCGTATATTTTCGCTTACAAAGAACGCCTTTGACTACAATTTATACTTCTTGGGATGCCTACCTTCCATACTTACAAGTACGTATGTTTAGTCACTGTGTCGTAAAAAACAACAAAGAAGGAAGTTCTTTTCCTCAATCCGTTCAATTAAGTAACGCAATTCCAATCGGGCATGTAGGTCAGGACAAATTAAGTTACTATCAGACCACTATTTTATCACTATCACTGCAAACGGAAAAAAATAACCTCGTTAATCGTTAAAACAAGCAAAGGTTCAAGTCGTTTTAACATGCTAAACAACTACAACCAGAAAGAAGCGACCGGAGATATTTTCTTAAGCAATGCAGGAAAAATGACAGGATAGCAGTACTTCACAAAATATTTTATGGGATCGACCATGTTGATGCGAATTTGTTCTTAGAGAAGACCACATCCGTGACCGTCCAGTTTATTATGTCAGACTCCGAGAGACGACATATACCATGCAATCCATTTTTGCATATGCCCAACAACATCAGTTGCTTGCCGGAGTCCGCAATTATCACCTCCAAAAATTAACCCTCTAATGAATGATGGACTCTGTCTGTGTGTACATGACATGCAGCAAGGAGGAGCTGTTGGTCGCCCATTATGAATGTATAATTCATACTGTATATAAGCACTGTTGTCAATATTTGGCCCCGTTTATTGATGACACTAAAAAACGTAGGCAGCCTTCAAATTTCACTCAAAATCAGACACAACGTTGATAAGTCGGATCCGTAAGTCTCTTTTTAGCTGAATTGTTTACTATTGGTGTCAGCCTCTTCCTTTTGGTTTCCCACTATCTCATGGCTTTTGCCATCCGACATAGTTTGCAATAATCTTCTTATTACCGTTTTCTCATGGAATGACCTCCTTAAAAATGATATGGTACTGTCACAGTCTTCATTGTTCCACAGTGCGTCCTTTTCAATGAATACTTTCCGAAGTGTCTTCATAGCTAAATAAAATGCTTGGTTTTCCTATGGCGCGTGCAAATTTCGTAAGAATATTGGTTCTTGATTGCTCTGGTTATCTCCAAAGACCAAGCATTCATCACACATTTTAGCATACTCTGTAGTAGTGTGCTTTTTTCCTTTTGCGATACTTCGGCTGTCTTTCTGCATGATTTCCGATTAATTTACTTCACGCCTTTTTAAAATTTCGTGTGTTTTACTTTTTGGTTTCATTTTCTGGTTTATACTTCCCTCCATTTTTCACACCATTTTGCTCATCATACGCGCAGTTTACTAGCAGAAGTTGTTGTTCCTACTCTAAATTACTAGTATACAATCCTCTGATATACATCTTTAAAAAAGCTTAAAGGTTGAACTAAAACTAACTGAATGTTAGCATCTCTGTTGACTGCCGTGTTCCACATTGCTATCTAATAATAATAATTATTTTTATAGTCGTATTTAATGCCACTGTATAGGAATTGACAAAGAAAAATGAAGCTCCAGTCGAGCTAGCAGTGAAAAACTCCTATTTAGTAAATAAAGGGGTTGATGTCTTTGGAGAGTTTGGGTGGTTCAAGAGAAAAAACTGCTGCTCGTAAACTGATGACAGTCTAGAAAGGAATGGTTAACACTGCATTCCTTTCCATGAAATAGGAACTGGACCAAACAGAGTGCATGGAAGAACAGTTGGTTCCTGTCAGCTAAAGAAATGGTGTCTACTGTTGCGGAATGTAGAGTCAGCAGAGTTTCTCATGAGATGGGACCGGGTAAAGGGATCGGAGACCACGAACTCCATCAATACGGAAAATTAATTTGGCGCATTCAGCTCCAAAAAATAGTGGGAGTTTTTGTGAATGCAAAAACGAGCAATAGTTCTCTTAAACAAAGGATTATTTGGCAGGATTTTCACATCCCTTGGTAACTTGTTGCAGATTGCAACTGTGTTCACAGAAAAGAACTGACGATATTCAACGTTACGTGTCAGAGGAAGAAGTAAAAGGACCTCATGGTGACTATTACATCGGGGCTGGTCAAGATGCTCTCAAAATGGTGGATTAAGAGTGCAACTGTTCAAAAACGTAAACAGCAAACAATAGCCCCTTTCGTTATCAACTAAACCACAAGGGATCAAGGCCTGTAAGCCGCAATGTTCTTGGTAAATTAAATCTCGGCGTTTGGACGTTTAAACTCTTTTGGTAAAAAAATTGTGGAAGGATTTTATCTCCTTTGGCTCGGCAGCACGTATGAGGCTAATAAAAAGTGAACAGTATTTGGGGCCAAGTCTAACCTTCATTTTATAAAGGCGCATTCTAATATCGCTAGTTTTAAAATTACGGAGGATCTACTCGGACGCCTTGTGTGCTTTGAAGACCACCAGTGTGCAGTGTTCAAAAATATTAAGGCTCTTGGAGTATGATACGCCCAGATCCTTAATAACTTCAGGCCCATTTATGTCGTGACCGTCAATACTTATTTGAGACTTATGGTCGTCCTCAACCACCCTGACTGAGCATTCGTGCAAGGGACGAGAAAAATGTCATGTGAAGCACCACTGGACAAAGACCTGTATGTCGCTCTTTAGGAGTTCAACACGATGTCACGATCTGCCTGTATGCAACTTCCACATAATCGAAATGGATGAAGGGTTTAACGTTCTGAAATAAAACTTACACGACGTTGACAAAAAGGCAAAATAATAGCGGACCATATACATTACACTGGAGGATTCCACTCCTCACATACGTGGGGTTGTAGATAACACCAGCAATCTTAACTTGTTGTGTGCGATCGCCCAGGCACTAGGATATCAAATTCGGAAGTTTAGCACCTATTCCGAAAGGAGGCAGTTTTGAAAGAAGAAGAGCCTGGTCAACGCCAAAAAAAGCATTGATGAAGTTGAAATGGACTGTAAAAGGTGCGAAACCATTGTCTCTGGATTGGAAAACGCGATCAAATGAAGAGAGCTTGCAGGTGTCACAAGACCAAGCTTTAAGGAATCCATGCTGAGCAGCACTCAGTAGGTTATTCTCTGTTAATTGACACATCATCTTATCTTTGATCAATGCCTCTAGGATCTTCGAGACTATCAGAAGAGAGCTTATTGGTCGAAAGCCATCACATAACGTAGAGTGGCCGTGCTTGGGGTGAACAAAATGTGTGATTCCCTCCACAAAGTAGGATAGGTTTCACTTTCAAGAGCGAGATTGAAAATCTTACACAGGAACGAAGGGGAAATTTCATTTGAATGTGCTTTTAAATGCTAACTGAAACATCACTAGGTTGCGGGCTGTGAGATTGAGGAAAACGCCGAATCAATACTGTCACGTCCCATAGGGTGAAAATTATATATTCGAAAACGGTCCCTGTACAATCCTGGATGCGCGGAAGCGAAACGGTCAAGTTTTTCTACAAACGGTCAACTTAATGTCTGCTACAGGATTTTTAAGAGCATCTCGGAGGATAGGAAGCTGCGTTTTCACAGGAGCTTTTTCTTTTCGAAAGAAAAGTTCTACCACATTCAATATGCTGTTTTCGGGGAAGTAGCCAGCCCTCTAACACAATTTCTCAAGTGCCTTTCCAGCAAGTCACTGCTTAATGCGAATTCATACGCTTTCAGATTCGCAGATGACATTGTCTACCTATATAGGTACTGCAGGGGCAAAGTCTTGACTGGAAGTTTTAAAGAAGTTTGTGTATATTTGCAACTACAAACATATATTACACTTTTTTTCCTCCGATGTCCAACTACTCATCGGCCCATTCAGAGGTCGATATTAAAATCCCTTCCACAATACTCTAAAATATGTCCTATTGTGTAATTTTCTTGTATTAATCAGGATAAACATGATCAGGGAGTGCCCGAAAATGTTTGCGAGACCGAACAGGAGAGACATTAGCCCAATTGCCTGAAACAATGATTCCTAAGCTATGGATCCGTAGATCTAGCATGAGCTTTCAACGTTTGAGAACTGTATCTCCCTGATTATCAATTCCCTTTAAAATATTGTTTCTTTTGTTCTTTTTTGGAACAGAATTCGTGTTTAACAATCGTTTGTTTTACAAAGTCAATACACTTTCTAACAACGGTTTTTGGCTGCAATTTCGTCTGGCGGCTCCGCGAAGATTTTGCTCGTGTCCCGGTTTATTCTATAATGGCACTGACAGCAAACGAGCAAAAGCAATTTCAACTAGAGTCACGAGCTAAGCTTTCTAAGGCTCAGACGCCTATCGAAAAACTCCGGTACATGTGCTTAGCTAGGGGTGCTAGTGGGATCAATGGATTAGGCCGTCAGTTCAGAGTAATGGATGATGACTCCAACCGCCAGCTCACAAAAGAAGAGTTTACGAAAGGATGCAACGATTTCGGCTGTCACTTATCACCGGAGGAGGTAGACAAGTTGTTTGCTGATATTGACACCGATAAATCGGGATCTATCGCTTTCGACGAATTTCTACGCGCTTTAAGGGTACTTTGCATTCAGTACTGACGTCCTTTAGCCGCCAATGTCGCAGCGCCGCGTTGATCTAGTGAAAAAGGCATTTTCCCTTTTGGACAAGTCTGGTGACGGCGTGATTACGGTAAATGCGCGTTTTATTGTTTGCATTTGCGACTTCGCTTTAAGAATGTCCAACGCGAAGGCTTGATGCATTTTTTGGGCAGAATACGTGCTTGCATAGAATTTTACTCCGCTGTCTTCTTTTCGAAAGCAATTTTTATTGACTCATCTGACATTCATATTATGTGGGGGTGCGACTAAAGTAACCTCACTCAAGAAGCGATTATTAGTGTTCGTAGTACGAACACGCTCCCACAAGAGCCCTGTTGGTTATTTCTAGGCCGATTGTGCCCCAACTACTGGCAAACCCAAGAACACTCTTGGAAGCGGCCTATGATCTAAAGTTGCCCCAATAGGTAGCGGTGAGTATGTGCACGTCGACTTAGAAAGGCAACTGCGTAGGCTCATAAGTAAGAATATAGTTAACTCAGCTTGCGATAGAGATTCAGTTGGCCATCGATGGTCTCCCAGTATTTAGAAAATCAAACACCGGAATGTGGCCAATCTTAGGGAGAATGTCGCGGAACACTGTGAACACAGAAGGGATCCAGAAAACCTATTTACATATTTATTTAATTTTTAAATAAACGTATTCGACGATAACCGTCTCCAAAGTACCTCTGGGTAAACGGGGGGGGGGGATAAACATACGAAAAGGAATGGATGGGGGGTAGAAAAGGGCATTGGTTAAGCAAACGACTCCACGCGTAGCATATTCCCTCCTTTCGCCGACGGCGTAGTATCTCGATTAATCGATATCTAAGAGATATCTATTTTTGCGACGAAATAGATATCCAGTCGATATATGAATCTCGATAAATAGATATCTAGTAGATATCTACTCGATATAGTTTGCTACTAGGGGCTTTTTGTTGATATTTTTGTCTTTTCCTAACCAAATGTTGCTTTGCATAAGCTTAGACCTAAGCATATGTAAAGAAAAATTTGGTTTCTATTTTTATAACCGTCGGCTAGCTCAAAATCTGCCATAGTTCATACTCAGGTGCCAAGTCTTTGTCACTCTACACGCTTGAAGACTGCCGTACAGTCTCTTTTTCTAGTAATTCAGCCAAGTCTACCCTCCAACTGATGCCTTTTTTCTGTTTTGAACAGCCGGCCGACCTAAAGGGCGTTTATAACGCAAAGAGCCACCCAAAATACCAGAATGGTGAGTGGACGGAGCAGGACGTCTTTAGGGAGTATCTCAAGACTTTTGAGTGTGGAAGCAGCGAAGTAGATGGAAAAGTAAGTTTTCGTTTAGTTGAACTTTCCTTATCGGCCGCACTTTTTTGCAAATAATGCGTATAAAGTCGCCATTCTTACGTATGGACCTCCGGAATTTTAATGCATTCTGCAGTAAACTAGAAGTTTGTGATGATCCAGGGAAGGGAAACTCAGACACTCACCTTATAGCATTTGCTGTTGTTGAGTCATTGCTGTTTTTGTCCGAGTTAATTACAAACCTTAGCGTTTCAAGCTATTTTAGGCGGTTATATTGACTAGATGAAGTGCCTATTACCTTATCATCTTACTTGGAACCGCCCAGTTTTTTTATCCAACCATCGCTTTCATCTTTTACCCAGCACTATTACATGTTTCTGTATGAAGACCTGTTACCCGCGTCTATTCCTTGGAACGACGCAATACCTAAGGGTTTTCCTGTAATTAATGATGTTTTCGTTGGAATTTTCAGTTTGTCGTTCTGAACCGCTTGCTTCACTATATGCTGTTCTCTGTTTGAATGCTGTCTGAGCCTTAGTTGATAATTATAAGTTGTTTTTGTCGTTGTTGGTTAAATGAGGCACTTTTTTCCAGTGAATGAAATTTCGCAGTTGAACAGTACTATCACTTCCAGCTAGTCTGAATACAGTCATGAAGCTTCGAGCTGCTACTCCCCCACCCATCGTGATAATTACCTCTGTCGCCTAACTGTCGCCATCATCATTAATGTCCTCATCTTCACCACTCCGTCAATCATAATATTTAATCGCAAAGGCTATAAGTTGAACGCAGTGTTTTTGGATGCGCAAAAAATACCCCCCACCCCGGCGACGTCTTTTTAGGTGCACGATTATCCTTTCGCGTGTAGCAAGTCGTTCCTGACACATTTAAACACCGTTTGAACTCCATGGACTGCGGTTTTTTGGACAGCGTACATATTTTTGAATGGCCTGTCCTATTGTCCGGTTCGTTGCTTTAACTGTTTTCTATAAAGGGTGTCCAAAGCGGTCTTAGCTCCTCCATGACCTCAGTGTCCCTCGCAGACCCAAGAGAATAATCTGCCGTGTGATTGTAATACTCAAGAATCTGTCACATGGTAAAACTGCTTCTATCGGGTCTGTCGTTGTTCTTAATAAACAGCGTTAAAAGTTTTGCAGAACAGACCACGGATTTTTCCGTAAGATCACCGAACGATACGACAGCCGCTGGATGATCACCTCAAGGCTTTGACTGAGAAAATAAAAGCTTTTGCTAAATGCGTGACGGGGAGGCAAGTCTATATGACGGTTGGCTGGGCAGTCTGTGTAGATTCGGGCTTATTGCACTGGCCTTCGTGTGTGATCATTGCCAACGCCCAGGATCTCAATGGTTTCAAAGTTGAAGATGTATCCCGTGTTCGCAACATGGGTTACCGTCCCCGAATTCGCGCCATCATTCGAACGACCGACATGTGCTTATACTTCGTGAGTCTGTGACCCAGTGATCAAGCCGGCCTCGGTGATGTTGCGTGTTTTATTTAAAGCCACCTATCTCTTCAAGTTGACAGCCTTTTATCCCGAGAGGTGCCTTCTCCTGGTCAGGTATGCAGCTGGAAAACAATTTGATCTCCCCATCTTTCATGAATAAATCAACCGAGGTAGCGATTTCATTTACCCGTGACACCACAGACTGTAGTTCACTAAAGCTTGTGGCCAGCAAGGCAATATCGGCAGCCTAGTCCACATCAGTCAGTCGGTGTCTGGGTGAAAACGTGACACCGTCAAAACCGTGAAGGGTCCTTCCGAGAATCCGGTGAATGGCGTAGTTGGTCGGAATGGACAACAGGATACTACTTTGTCTAACACCAGATCGGATGTCGAACGGTTGGGCGAGATTGTTGTGGACGAGAACTCTCGTAATGATAGGCAGATAGTAGACCTTGATCATGGCGATGATTTTGTTCAGCGCGTCATCTGGTTCCATTACTCGCCAAAGGGACTCACGATGGACGGAACCGAACGTACGGCCAAGTCAACAAAGCAGACGGCCGTCGGTTGCTGTTAGCCACGACGGGATTCTTTAATTTCCCCTAATATGTAAATATCTGGTCCGCGCATCCACGCCCAGCTCGCAATCCAGCTCGATTGGGCCTCACCCTGCTGTCATGCACAGACTGGAATCGCCTAAGAAAAACAACAACGATGATCATTACAGATACGTCGATGAGGCTTGTGCTGCGGTAGTTTTCACACTTTGTTCCTCCATGGCAGGCGCAAGGATGCCCGAGCCCTAGTCAGTGAGAACTACCCCATCTCTCCATACTTCCTCGATCGCCTCGTGAAGCCAGTGTCGACACAAGACCCGTAGATTCCAGCGGAAAACACGTCCTCAGCGAAAGCCTTGTTGTTTTGCGACTTCCTTATTGCATCGGCAACTTCTCCCTCAGAAGATAGGTCTCACGACACTGCATAGTCTGGAGAATTTCCACTTTATTCGCCGTCGCTTGGTCCCTGTTTCTGAGCCATTCACAGTCTTGCTTCCCCAGTTTTCAGAATTGTGCACACACACACACGCGACCAGTCGCATTTCGATGGGAACAGCAGGTTCGAACGCCACTGGACCAGCCGCAACACCCAGTGGACGGAAAACTCATAATCCCGTCTTGCAGATGCGGACAGCCGCTTAGCATTTTGGCGAAGACCGACGACACTCGAGTGGTCATTTCTGGCCTGCTTACAGGAGATCTAGGCTGAAACTCCCGGCAGAAAAAGCAGAACGCCCTTACCCTTTCTTCCAGGTCAGTAAGTGCCACGCCCACGCGAGTCACGCACAACCGGTAGCAATAAGGCGTGCGTGTCTACACGCCGTCTACAAACCGCGCTGCCCACCTGAATGGGAGGTTGCTGCTCAGACCGACTTCAATTCCGATCATCGGCCCCCCACACCACATTACTAAAAATTTGATTGAGACACCTTTTTAGACGTGAAGGTCAGAATCCATGGACGACTATAAACTGGAAAAAACATTCAATTATAGCCGACATAACCGAGAATACAAGTCCAGGGAAACAGTTGAGAAGAAGTAGACGCGGTCGCTGGAACAAAAGCCCTACTCGCCTAGAACCCATCACAAGGAACAGTATCAGATACTGGTAATTCATGCTCAGGGGTTTTCATTACCTATGAAAATCAACGGTTGCGATAATTGTTTGGTGGCCGACATTGAAGTCGTTAATCGTTGCACTTTCTTAACCCGTGTTGGGTGTTGACGTGAAAATTACTCGACTACCTGCCACATCGACACTGGCTTTGTAAACAGTGTTCGCCGGCCCGCTCTTCGCGTGGCTAATTGCTCGGCCCAGGTTAAGTCTCAGCACCGGATATGGAAGAGCGAGGTTATTGCATTTGTTAGTAGACTTGGGACCAGCGCACTATAGCTCAAACAGCTGGCCGCTCACGTGACTGTCACTTTGCGAGAATTTCGGCCTTGTCAAACTGGAATGTTTGACTGGGTCCCGTCGAATGGGTCGCGATCTGGGAGCTGGCGTCATCTTTCCGCACTGCCGCCGCGTGTTCGGCCATTCGCGTCCAGAGTAGTCCTCCAGTTTCTCCAAATTAATTGATTTGTCCGCAACTGCACCACGTTCGATAAAAGACTCCAGACGTTTCTTGTTGTGGCGGTGGGTCTTTTTGTCTCATTACTTGACGCCTGATGGTTGCCTGCGGTCTGTGTGCCACTCCAACTGTAAGTGGTGCAAGAGGGCGACTTATGGCCTCCAAGATGTCTCTGACACACAGAAGCGCTCGCCAGGCTCTGAGGTAGGTGCGATTTGGCATGTCGTCTCGTGTGGGTAAGCACTGGCTGACGAAGTTGCGCGGGCAACCATTGGGTCTGAACACCCGTCAAAGATATTGCAAGTTGACAATTCTATCTTTCGATTCACTGTGGCGCGCTCCAACATGCCGACATAACGCTCTTACGCAACCGCTCTTGTGGGGGATTCGGTGGTTGCTGTTAAAGCTCAGTACTTGCGTCGTGTTTGTCGCTTTCCTGAACACTAGTCTCTAGGCCACCACAATCTGCGCCATAAGTCAGGGAAGGACAGCTGGTTTTTTCCTCCATCGTAAATTGTATGTCTGGGCAGACGACCTGATCTCGTTCAATTACTAAAGATCGGTAAGATATCGTTTGGTAGCTTCACCTGATGGACACAATGCTGTTTGATTTGGGGTTAGGGGTTATGGTTGGAGGTCAGGGGTGATGACTAAGGGTTAGGGCTCAGGGTTAGGGGTTATAGTTAAGGGTTAGTGTTAGGGGCTAGCGCGACTATTTCTCAACCACCCAAACTACAACTACACATCTCCAATGACTAAGAATCACCCACTTACCGAGTTCAGAATTTCGGTCTCTAGTGTTGGAAGATCAGCGACTCCAACCGTTATACAACCGCCTCGACTGAGTCCCGAAATCGGCAAACCCATCGGTGTACCTTTCAAAGATAGGCCTATATCGCAGTGTCATTTAGCTGTAATCAGGCTGTCTAGGAGTCATTAAAAAAACAAGACCTAAATACCTCACTTGCTGCCTTACAGAGGCCCTGGAACCCTTCTGTTAGACGGTATGCTGACTGTCCAGCGTATCCACATGTGACGGGTGTTGAAGTGGGCTCCATCAAAGATATGCAATTGTGGCGAGGTAACTTGACAACGTATTAAAGGGTCACAAGCATAGGCGGTATTGCGACATGACAAACGTTAGTCAACATTCAATGGGACTTCCTCCGTTGCCGTTGCCCTACAAATTATGATCACGGAACCGGGTGGGACCTGAGATCTCGTCCGTATCATGCCGTGGAATCCGGTGCCGATCGTGGCAAAATTCGATCTACCTGCTGTCACTCCAATACCTACCAAGCGATAACCCGTTCAACATTCTTCCTCCTCTTTTCAACCAACTCCATGCCATCTAGTAGGAATGCCTTCCCCCGGTGCTGCGGGCTTAGAAGCGTCCAAATGGACCAACTAACAAGCCTTTTCGCCTTCGTCTGCCACTTAAAACAGTCTTCCCTTATCACTTCCCGGGCTAATTGCACAAAACTGCACGTGTAAACCGTCTTTCCTGCTCGAATTAGAGACCTGATTGTTACTCTTGTCGACTTTATGTCATATGTACTCCTTGGCTTGTGTACCAAATAAATTCTATCTTTGTTACCCCACCTATTTGCTCCTACTAAAGTGTCGTGCCTTGAAGTGGGACAAATCGTAGGATTTATGACACCTTTCGAATTTCTTGGTTTTTACCTTGGGCTTTCTAGTCTGTTTCCTGGGACTGTAGTCTTCAAAATGTGGACAAAATTCTGCTTCTCTTCCCTACGACGGAGGCCTTTTGCTGTGTTCGAGGCGTCGCTGTACCCTTGCCAAACCTCTTATCCGGCCTAAAAACTGCCGACCTCCATACGTCTCCGCCCTCGGCTGCTTTGGTTTTAAAGCACTTCCTTTCCTTTCGACACTATTGGCTGAACGGGCTATGCTTACTCGGTGGCTATTATTAGTCCGAGATGCCAGCCTAACGTCTTCTACTTTCGCACTGTTTTTGCGACAGACTCCGAACAAAGACGTGAAACAGAGTTGCCTCGATTGGCCAATCGTGTCACGCGAGACAGTCGGGCCGCGTGTCTGCGATCATGCCTGCACGGCGACCCGGTGGGACGGGCATGGGCTCATTACCGATTTGACTTTGGCTTGGATTTTAGATAAATACCATAGATGTACACCACGTTAGCGTTGTTTACCAACGTTCGTGGTCGCCACGGCCTCCACTCGCAATAGTTTTTGGGATTTCTCTCATCGTAAAACTGTCCCTCCTTGGAGAGTTTGGAACGCGTACTTCCTCCCGGTCACAATTGCAAATGTCATAGGACCATCGTACGTTGCCGGGATCCTTTCCTTCCCAAGCCCGGAAGATGCCCACCACAGAGAATCTCTGTACTGCAAGCGAGCTCTCGATGTAGGGATTTTAGGCCGTCGGGTTGTCACATGGGTGTAACATTTCCTACTATCTAAGCGTAACCGACTTGCCAGCTGTGAGTCACTGACACCCTGCATCTAGAAGTTTACGGACAAGTACGACTGGACTGGCGCACCTCTCCACTAAGCGACCGTCTGCCATGCCCATAGCCTGATGCTTCGAAGTAGAACGTAGCCATCATACTCCTCTCGACGATTAGGCCAGCTCGGTGAACGCCATCTCCACACGGTCCATCATATATGTGGTAAGAGCCACTGTCGAGCATGTTAAAGGCAGTGACATGCACACAAGCGTCAGTCCACCTGCACGCCTGGGCGAGTAGCAGCTTGAGCCTTATGACCCAGTTTCGTTCCCCCTCCCGTTTAGTGTGTTCTTGTTAGTTTTTTTGCAGTTATTCGCGCGCGTGCGCGTGTGTTACTTATTTCCATCGCACCAGCCCGCACAGTCTCCTTACTCTTCTTCCTCCATCCTTCTAGGTGACCTGGGACGAGTTTCTCAATTACTACAGTGGCATCAGCGCCTCCGTGGACGACGATATCTACTTCGACTTGATGATGCGGAACGCGTACAAATTGTAACTCCTGTCCCCCCCCCGCCTCCCCCTTCCTCAATATGCGTGTCTCGGCCGGACACCGACACTCCTCTGCTTATTCCATTCTACACGGGATTCGCACCGGTTCAAATAGTATTGTCTCTCCCCTCCCACACTCTCGCTTTGCTATCGTCGCCTGCCACCGTCCTGGTTGTCGGATATCTTATCACAATTATTGCTTGCAGATAAGCTTTTGGTTCTTCTTCCCTGTCCACCCCTTACGCAACAGTTTTGACGCCGAGGAAAAAGGGAAAATATATAAATATCGCCCCATCTGCATTCGTCAACCGAATTACTTTGCTTTTGTACTACAACGGTAGTCTGGTATTGTCTTTTTTGTTAAATTCCGTCTTCCCAGTGAGGTCTCCGCCTTCTGCGGAATGAGTAACTACAGTCCTTCCACGTAATGTGTGTATTTTTGCCTGAAAGTGCACAGAATGGTAGATTTGTCCTACCAGTTGCCAAGTGCTTCGTGGCACTCTTCCGTTTTCCATGCCTTCTGATTCAGGGACGTTTGTCAGACTTTCTGTTCTTACATATATTTTACTGTGAGTAAAATACATATGTCCACCTTTCCGGTCTTGTCCAACAGCACCGCGCTGACTGAAGAACCCTACGGCTGCTTATCCAAGCTGTTTGATCTGGATCTTGAGATAGTGTCTCCTTCCGCCAACGCCATTAGATTCGCCTAGAAGCACACCAAGTTTATTGGAGCGAGGCTGCGACTTCCAGTGAGCAGGCCTCGAGGACGCTCGAAGACCACCGGTTCGTCCGCGCAGTCTGCACCGTGTGACTTGTCGATTGCAGCTTCACTGAACCGTTTGGTGCTCGGTCTGTCGTCTGACGAGGTTTCACTACGGTGGCCATTCCACGTAACCACTTGGTTGACTGAGTCGTCGGTCTGTCAGTCAAACTGCGAAAACCCAGTATACTTGAGTTGTTTAGCTTGAAAGAAGAAGGCGCCCCACTTAAGTACTGGATGTCAGCTTGAAGAGCTCCGTCTCATCTGCTTCGGGGCTGAATTAATGCCAAACGGACCGACTGTGAATAACACTGTTGTCCCTATCAATATAGCCCGTAGGGTGCTCACAAGAATGCTGAGTTTTATACAGGTCTGTCGCGATAGCTCCCTCATCTCAAAGAGCCTTGCCTACCGGACATCCGTCCGGTCAGTCCTGTACGCTTGTGAATGCTGGACTATCCACGTGTATGACAGACAAAAACTGGAGGATTTTCAGCTGCCCTTGTCTAAGGACAATAACTCAGATGAGGTGCGCTGAGGCAAAACTTACTAGCTGTAACAAAGGTGTCTCAGGCCGTCTTCAAATACGCGACTGGACTGGTTTTAGCGCCATCCTTCTCATCCAGCATGTGCGTGGCACCATGCCCCCTCCCCCCAAACGGACCACGTGGTAGGTGCGCTGGACCAGCACGGAGACCACATCGGATACTGGCAGGCGTTATCGGATTGCACACCATAGCAAATGCCAACATTTCGGGGTGCGATGACAGACCAGGTTGCCGGCAGCCGTCGCGCACACTGGGACCCCTACCGCCCTCCTCCCCACTGTTGTTGGTCAGAAGCCTGGTCATTTACTGTGTGGAGTGGAACGTCAAGGGGCGGGCTCGGCCGTGTCATCCACTTGCGCCCTCCCCCACCTCCGGTCTTGACTCTGTCTTGACACCGGTCCCAGGTGGGGGAGGAGGGAGTGCGGTAGACGCTGTGCAAGTCTACATTCACTTTAAACTAAATCACGCACAAGTCACCGTCCCTGCTCTCACCTAGTTGTGGAGTACACGGTGGACATCGTCGACAGCGACGGTCGTCTAGCTCCAAACCTGTTGCCGCATTACTCGAGGTGGCCGAGAGTGTGTCAGTTCGAAACCAGACTGTATGCAAACAATCGAGACCTTTAGGGTGGTTACTGGACACTTGGTGCTCTCTCCTCCGCACGAAATAACGGAACCCGTTGACTTTCTCCGCGTGTAGTTCGCGCTGACTGCGGTAGTGCGGACGGATAAGTCCGACGTAACCATGCAAGCAAAAGTACAACATTCAGATTTTTAATCTCGGAAAGCAATCGCGACTTTGGAGTTAATCAGTCGGGATTAAGCTTTTCAGGCTTAATTCCGAATCTGATATGAATATTTGAGCCGAAATCCATCAGCCACAGCAGGCCAACTCGTGCCCGCCGGCCCAGGCGGGTCACGGAGGAGAGAGTGTGGTAGATGCGTCGTAAGCTTACTACCAGTAAAAACTAATTCAGAGTAAATCGACGTCCTTGCGCCCGCTATGCTTCGGAGCGCACGGTTGTCGTCGTCGTTCGAGACAGTCGACCAGTGCTTCAATTTTTTTAATTTTTAGACTTAGGTGATTAAGTGTCAGATTGACAACATGAAGAATGACAGATGGGCATGCCCAAGTCGCGTTACGAAACGCACTCGCCCCGTTTTGTCTTGCGGCTCTCTCTCGAGCCCCGCCAGAAGGCGCATAGCGGCGCGTAATATAGCCAGAATGGCACTACCGACAAAGACAAGGGAGACTGGAATGGCCATTTCTGGCTTATTAGCTGTCGTCAGCCAAATATACCCAACGTCAAAGTGTTGAAAGCCTGGGGCTCGATCCCGTGACCTGTTGGTTAAAAGCCCAGCAGAAGCGAAGACACGAGTCCCGGGAAGCAGTCCTGAAGTAGGAGACACGATCGCTGGGACAAGAGCTTTATTCGCCTAACGTTTCGGATTCCTGTTCGCACCCATCATCAGAGACAACTAGGTACGGGTCTTCTTTCGTCTCTGACGATGGGTCCGAGCAGGAATCCGAAACGTCAAGAGAATGAAGCTCTTGTCTCAAAGACCGTGGATCCTTCTTCGCATAAAAGTCCAACGCCGCTATCCACTGAGCCACGGGCACGTCTATAAGGAACTTTTCCTTCCTTCAGTCAAAGTTTGACAACTGCCAAAAGCGTTTTCCCATCTGTGCTGGGAAAGGACATGACTACATGCCTGAAAGAACCGCTCGATATTGACCGGAAAAATTAAAAAACGGCACGTCTGAAATCAAAAGTCCCTTCCTCTCCGGACGACTGACTGGCTCCGATGAGGACCTGTAGAATGCAGAGAATTGACGGAAAAGTTGCATTGGTGCAACCAGACCATCTTTAGTCAGTTGGAGCCAATGGGTAAAAGTCAGAAGTTTGGAGCATTGGAAGACATGTATTGATAAACAAGAAACACCGGCGCTTCTTGGCTGCTGCTGATTCGCTTGCGCGGCGCAAAGGCACCCTTGGGCATAAAGAGAAAGCTCTCTATCGCATAGTCAATGACGATGAGAACTCGTGCCTCCACGTCAATATGAAGTGAGGGAGTGGGTTGGCAAGCAGGTGTCGTTAATGCTTGTTTTTCTCAACTTGACAATTATTTGGCTCTCCAAAATAAGAGATATAGAATGTCGCAAGACGACGGTGGTAATGGTTATGCAGAACAGGAGGTGCCTTCATATTGTATGTTCCATTTGATACAACGAAACAGAACTGATGGAAAAGAATCGCATTTACAAAAAGGCGAAATTCCCTATTAGGCAAGTCAATATAACTTGCGAATTAGTCAGCAAAAGTCAGTAGAAAGGCTGCATATTACTTCTTTTGTACGTTTCTTGGTGCGTGTGACTTGCATACGTTACTTAACAGATAATCGCTCAAAAGCCAGTATTCTAGGATGCGAAAGCCGTATTAGTATTGTGCTCTCATTGGCCAGTTTTGCACTCCCTTCAGATTAATCTTTCTTATCTGAAGATATCGAGCAGTCGCGACTGACGTTTCATTAGTTTTGGCGTACAATGCATATTGCCATGTGGCATGAAGGATTTTTTCAGTAAGGAATTTCTATTATTCCAGACCAATGTACGTCCATTCTCTCTACACCACAGCTTTTAACTCACACAGTTTGAGCTAGTACGCCACCCTGAATTTTAATTGGCAATTAATTGCATTCCGGGGTCAATCCCAGCACATATTCCCCTCTATAAACAGCCTACATGCTCTTAAACTATCACAGTGCCCTAAAAGCCGCGGCTTGGAGGGCTGCCAATTGATGGGGATAACTCGGTCCTCCTCTCCGCACGGAAAGTCAGGCTCCAATTCTTTCTTCTTTACGTGACCCCCATGGCACTCCCACTCGGCGGAATCCGAACTGCCCTTTCGTTTTTATGCGAACAGCTGTTCCATCGTGCACGGACCAGACGTATGTAACGAGAGTAAGCGAGTTGTTCAGTTGTTTATCAGCCACTGCCCTCAAGTCCACCTCGGACAGTTTGACCGTCGGTTTCGACGATGTCCACCGTGTGCTCCACAGCAAGGCGGAGCAGGCACAGTGACTTGTGCGTGAGTTAGTTTATAGTGATAGTAGACTTTCACAGCATCTACCGCACTGTCTTTTCCCCTCTCCCCCCTCATGGACCCGGTAACCAAGAAGACTGGAGGTGGGGGGGGGAGGACGCAGGTGGCTGGCACGGCCGGAGGCACACCTAGGCGTGCCATCACACCCCGTGGTCCAAAACATACACCTGACCAGGATTTTTCGCCAACAACGACAACATCCCAGCAGGGGCATCGAGTCCACCTCCAGCCGTCTTGACATTGTTTTACCAAAAGACCCTGGTAGTTGATGGAGAGAGAGAAAGAGTGAGTGCGATAGAATCTGTGCACCCTCTCAGTGGCGCACGCGGTGAGCGTCGTCGCTTGTGGCGATCAAACTGTCCTATCAGCTTCAAATCCACTGGACGACTTCTTGGGAGTTCTACAGTGCGTGACTGATCTCGTGAAATGTTAGCCGAAATTCTGAAGTGCGTTTTCGATCAGAAAGAATTACTTAGGCGGGGTTGTAAGCTTGATTATTGGGAGGCATAATCTTGCAATATTTGAGAGTCACCATGATGTTGGCTTTTGAATGCACTTCTTTGCGATCTCCTGCAAAAACCACACTCGATGG